TGGGTGATTTTTGGATATGTTGTTCACCCATATCAGGGCTATCCAGGGATGTAGGATTTATGGGGATATGTTTGTGTTTTGGGGTGTTCTCTGTGTTTTGTGAAAAATCTGTGTTTTTTGCCTGTGGGTAATTGAGTTAGTCCATTGTGTTTGTTAATTGTATCACAGGCAGAGGGGAGGGTTTGTGTACATTATCTGGGAGTGCCTAACTGTACAAGAGTGTTTTGATTGGCTTTGTAACTTTGTGTCCTGTGTACCACAAGGTCCACATGGGTGGTAACTTTGTGGGAAAACTTGTATAAAAGAGACAATAAACCCTCAGATCATGCTGTTCCTGTTTGACTCTCAACACGTAGTCTTGTCTCGTGATTGGAGGGGGACTGCTATAATCACACTGGGGATTGCTATACTTGTATACTCCCCTGAGCTCTTATCATTTAGCTCTTTTAAGAGCTGTTCCTGATACGCTCTCCTGGAGGAGAGGTCTTTCCCACACGGTCCTGGAGGACAGAAGCTGATTCAGGGTGGAAGGAAGACTCCAGTTAAGCTACGGCGGTTGAGGAGTCTGCGGTGGTTGTGGTGTCTGGTGTGGTGCTTGTGGTCCTCGGCGCAAGGTAGGAAGCGTTCATCAATGGAAGGTACTCGGTCGGAGTACAGGTAATTCGTTACACCATGTCTCCCAGTGCCCCCTAGCCTCCCAGTGCCCCCTAGTCTCCCAGTGTCCCCTAGTCTCCCAGTGTCTCACTGTCCCCATGTCTCCTAGTGCCCCCATGTCTCCCAGTGCCTCAATGTTCCTATGTCTCCAAGCTAGTGTCTCTAGTAATTGTGTCCCTGGTGTCTGTGTCCCCATGTCTCCGTGTCTATAGGTCTCCCTGTGTTCCTAGTGTCCTAGTGACATGGGGACCCTGGGGGACATGGGGACATAGACACATGGGCATACTGGAGGACACAAGGATACATAGGGACACTGTGATACATAGGGTCACTGGGAGACCTGGGGACACGACACTAGGGGACACTGGAAGACATGGGGCACTGAGACACTGATACATAGGAACACTGAGACCTGGAGTAATCGACACATGGGGACACTGAGAGATATGGAGACACTGGGAGCAATCCATCTATACAGCAGAATCAAACTGTAAGTAGTTTTTTGGTGATTGTACAGCATTTTCTCTTATATCAATCCTTGTGATTTACATCATGTGATGTCACCCATACATAATTAATTATGCAAATTAGTAAGGCCAGTATGTTTTTCAAAGAAAGGTGGCAACCCTAACTACTTTTCACATACTCTTGCTTAAGTATGGAAACTTAAGAGGGATGTAGGGGAACAAAACTTGTGTGGACTGGCTGACAATGAATATAGTTAAGGTAATGCTGACTTTGGTCTCTCTAACACTGTGGCATGTTCCCTTTCTTCTACACTCACTACATACACATATTCTATGTCCCAGACTATACACCAGGAGCTTCTGCCTGCTAGTAAGAAGGTAAGGAGACAAGTGGACCAGCGAGTGCTAGTCAGTCCTTAGAAAGCATTGAGCGAATGCATCATTGGACACATTTATGCCAAGCTCAATGTGCTGTCTGCATAGTATGCCCTTAGTTGGCCTGCTTGCATGATTGGCAGGCAGCCTGACGCATTCATGCCAGGCTGGCCTTCTAACTCCTTGGGCAGACATGTCCTCTTTTTGGGCATGTCCGCCCCTTTTGGCAGGTTACGTGATTTGTGTCAGTGGCACACCCTTTTACCGTGCCCATTGACTTCCTGCTTTACTGGACACTGCTGTTAGGGGTTATGGATTTACTTGAAAAATGAAAGCATAATTTAGAGAGAGATTAGCATAGGGTGTGTGTTTTCCTATAGATGCTCTTTTCTTTCTCTCCAGCACCATCTCCATCAGATACATGACGCTTGGGAGTGTTTTAGTGTTTTTGGTCGATAAGATTCTGTAATTAGGCCCATTATAATTGTCAGCACCAGGCCCACTGGGCTGTTAATCTGGCCCTGCTTGCTGGAGTTTATTAATTTTACTGTAGTTTTCTTTAAATACAACATAATTTTAAATGTATGTTTTTAATTACTCTTTAAACACACCTCTATTACATATTATACCTTTGTTCAGAAAAAGTAAAAAAATCACTTTAAAAATGTTCATTTGTTTCACGAGAAGAGCAATTCTTGATAGAAATCCTCAGGGGAAAGTTTAATAGAAACATATGTTAAGAGCTTTTTAAGTAATTGCAATACCAGTAAAAGCTTTGTAATGAAATTACTGAGACTAAATGCTTGAAAAAATAAATTTTCTTTATTTAATTATGTCAAGTAGAATTCCAGTATGTGATTGATCTTGGTATACAGTGTAGGTCAAAATTTAAAATAGCTTTCAATTTTAGATTACTTTTTTTGGTGTAAATATATATATTTGGACTTTGTACTCAATAGCAATCGTAGTAACTCCATTGATAGTCAGATCTCCAGGCACAGTTTTACCAAACATGAAGGAGTGAAATTGCAATTATTAATTTATGGACGCAGCTAACATATTTTCTAAAAAAATCATAAACTTTTAGTTGACTTTCTACAAGACTTGTAGTGGACTGAAATGTTGCTAAAAAAAAAGCGCACGTATGGAATAATAAAGCAGCAATGAAAATTATTTTTAACCTATTCTTGCATGCTTTCCTTCACATTTGGTGTTTGTTTGTGTGTGTGTGTGTGTGTGCATACATATCTATATGTAAAAAAAACTGATACAATTTGCATCTTGTAATAGGACTAATAGAATTTTTTAATGACAAGCTTTCGGGAGAACCTTCCTTTCTCAAGTTTAAAGCATTTCTGAGCAAGACATAGAATTCAAAGTTGAGTTGTGGTACAGGGCTTAAAGCGACAAACGCAGATAAGACACAGGTTTCATAGAAAATAGACACCATTCTCGCAGAGGGTCGTAAATATCTTGTGTGAAGATCACAGAGTGAGGAGGGAGAGAGAGAGAAAAAAACAAGCAAACAGTGCAGAAGTTGGTGCTAGAAGGGGAGAGTAAAAACAAAATAATTACTTGAATTCCTATCCAAGAGTTACAGGATATGCACGAAGGCCTATATCCAGCATACACAGACACACACACACACGTACATATATGTATACACAAGTAGTGTATATGTACAAGTATACACAAGCACATACACAATATACATAACTACATGCAAAAATATAAATATAAATACAACCAATTGCACAAATATATGTACAAGCACACTTATACATCCATCCATAAGCACCAATACATGTAGCTATTGAGAGTACAAATGTGCCTACACATACATAGACCCATATGTATGTACATGTACACATACATCTATTCACATATACACACATGTATGTATGTATATACATATGTGTGCACATGTAAATAGGTGTATGTGACAGAACCATCCGTCTGTGAACTTTCTATTCCCCTTGGTTTTATCTGTTTGCTTCGTTAATTGCCTGTCCGTACCCCCCGTTCGTTTATTTCTTTAACTCCCAAATAAACTGCCGAACGGCCGGCCACCCAGCATGGAAGTGTGCTGCTGGTTAACCTCTTGGCCCCATTCGAACATTGTGGTTAACCGCATACACCTCTTAATTGTCAAAGGTAGGCCGGGTGGTCGTCATTCGCATGCCGACCACGAGGAGGCGACCATCTTGGGCGCACGAATGCCCAGCGGTGCTCATCGACGAGTCCTTGGAATGAATAATGGACACTATTTCTCACGAACACCGCTGAAGCCGCCGACCTCCCTTCCCCGTCTTCGGCATACGAACGCCGGTCCGTTCTGTACTTTTTCTGCAGGAATGAACTTAACCCAGATAGCTATGCCATAATGAAAGACTATGTGAAAGACTTTGGCTCCATGGCGATTGAACTGTATGTATGTGATCTGAACGCCATTCGGTAATAATGTGCGCTCAGATCTAAGCTCTCAGGGGATACGTTAAATGTGTATAGTGCATTCAGTATTTTTCCAGTTATACATTTTTGTGTGTTTTTACTGTTACATGTAAAATGGCGATTTGCCTCTATCCTGGGAGATAATTGGATTACTTCCCCAATTATCTCTAGGATAGGGAGGAGGAGGGTTATTTCAGCTAAAGGGGAGTGTTTATGCCTGAGCCACTGTGATTGGCTGCTGTATTCTTATTGTCCCAGTTTTCAACCAGGTCCCCTAGGGGAGTGTCCACCTGGTGGAAAGCCTGCATAAATACCGGGCAGGTAGCCCACATTAAATCAGATCTCTGCTTAACCCTCAATTCGGAGCTTGGTCTCGTACTTGGGGGTATTGGATTTGTATGGTTTACTCGTTCGGCTGTTTGATACGTGAAGGATTTCGTATGGTTCCTGTTCGGCTGATTGGAGCTTTTGTTAGCTGTCTCTCCATTCGGAAGGTGAATGTCCTCAGCGGTATTAACCCCTATTATACCTGGGTATACCGTAACAGTGTATGTGTACATATACAATTAATTTGTTTTTACTCTCCCCTTCTAGCACCATCTTTGGCACTGTTTGCTTGTTTTTTTTCTCTCTCTCTCTTCCCCCCTCCTCAATATGATCTACACACAAGATATTTATGACCCTCTGCGAGAATGGTGTCTATTTTCTATGAAACTTGTGTCTTATCTGCACATGTCGCTTTAACCCCTGTATCACACCTCAACTATGAATTTTCTGTGTCGTCTTGCTCAGAAATGCTTTAGACTTGAGAAAGGGAGGTTCTCCTGAAAGCTTGTCATTAAAAAATGATGTTAATCCCATAAAAAAGGTATTACAAGATACAAATATCATCTTCTTTTTACATCTACATCACTGGACTAATACAGCTACAATCTCTACTTGAACATATATATATTGAACATATATATATATATATATGAAACCAAGAGGGCTGCACTCACCTGAACATGCATACATTATAGGGTGCTGCTGGGGCCAAAATATACAAAATACAGAATCCAACGCACTCGCTTATTCACTAAACAATGATTTCAAATCTTAGAGGTTGTAATAGTTTTGTTTAAAAACACCTCACCTAGGCAAAAAATATTGGGGGTTTAGTTACATTAGATGATCATATATTGCATAAGCCAGCCACAACGTCAATGTACCCCATTTTTGGCAGGTCCCCTATAATGGATGCATGTTCAGGTGAGTACAGCCCTCTTGGTTTCATTTATATATTTGGGAGCCCAGGCTAACTCCTTGGGTTTGCACCTCTCCCTGTCACAGGTGCCTCATTCCAGGACTCTATTTAGCCTTGACTTGCAGAGAGTCCCAGTAAGAAAGTATTTCCCAACTAAGTGGATTAATCTCATGCCGATGGGTTGTCCAATCTAGAATCAATAGCTCTAAGGAATATTGATAAGGAAGATTTTTACACACTGTAATCTACTCTAAAAAGGTCAATGTAAAATTCAACAAAGTGCAATAATGCCTATTGTTCTAATAAAGTGCTGTCCAATGGATGGATAATAATCAATATCCCCTAGTAAAGTGAACATAGTGTAAATTAAAAATCTACATGCATGTAGAAATAAATCTAATAATCTATAATTTAGCCGGACCACCTTGTTAGGTGCATTTAAAGAGAAAGTCTCATATATACCTAGTGCAACAAAGTGCTCATGGTGCCCAAAAACATAAATAGTGAAAAGTGAGCCTGCTGGAGTCCCATGACAATAGGAGAGATATATATACATATAGAGGCTTTGGTAATAATCAAAAGCATATTCAAGGGAGGTTAATAGTTCCATAGTTAATACTCATGTGACGAAAGCAACCTCGCCACTGGTTTTTGGAGGGTCCTGTTTACCAGCCTCCTACCATGGGACTATGGGCCCTGTGATAACCCATGTTCAAAGGTACTGTTTCTGCCCCTTGGACTTTTAACTGGAACAGATTCAAACATGTGGCGGCGGCCATCTTAAATTGTCCAGCAGTGTTTTGTCATCGAGTGTATGGAACTGTTTTGGGCATGGGATCATGTGCATGGTGGGGCAAAATAAGACTTCCAGGAAATTCCTGAATCCCTGAACCGATCTGGGTGATTTTTGGATATGTTGTTCACAGAGATCGGGGCTATGAGGGGATATGTTGTATTTTGGTGTACTTTTTGGGATGTATGCTTTTTTCTGCCTAGAGTTAATTGAGTTAGTCCATTGTCTTCGTTAATTATATCACAGGCAGAGGGGAGGGATTGTGTACGCTGTATAGGAGTGACTGAATATAAAACTATGTTTTTATTGGCTTGTTGTTCCTGTGTTCCTGTGCCCCACAAGGTCCACCTGGGTGGTAACCTTGTGGGGAAAACTGTATAAAAGACCAAGCTGTTCAATAAACTCTCAGATCTGCTGATCCTGTTTGACCCTCAACACATAGACTTGTCTCGTGATTGGAGGGGAACTGCTATAATCACACTGTGGCTTGCTATACTATGTATACTCCCCTGGGTTCTAATCACTTAGCTCTTTTAAGAGCTGTTCATGTTACGTTCTCCTGGAGGAGAGGTCTCTCCCACACAGTCCTGGATGTCAGAGGTTGGTCCAGGGTGGAAGGAAGATGGCGAGATTCCAGTTAAGCTATGGCAGTTGGGGAGTCTGCGGTGGTTGTGGTGTCCGATGCAGTGCTCATGGTCCTCGGCGTTAGCTAGGAAGCATCCATCAACGGAGGTACCCAGTCGGGGTGCAAGGTGATCCATTACAACTCAATCTTCCCTTTTTCTAGTTTGATCTCCAAATCTAGAAATTGTATAACTTATGTGTTAATATTGGAAGTGACTCTTATGAAGGGTTGGTAACATGTTGATATATTCCCAAAATTTCTGTGCTTCTTCTGTATTGCCTTTCCAGAAGATCAAAATATCATCTATGTACCTAAAATACTTGAGGATTTGTTCAGAAAACCTTTCCATGATATACTTTTTTCAAATTGGTACATATAAGTATTGGCATACATAGGAACCATTGCTGCCCCCATAGACGTGCCTGCTTTCTGTATGTACCACTTTGTTTCAAACCGGAAATAATTATTCCTAAGTGCCAACAACAGGGGTTCTAAGACATATTCAGTTGGTGGTCCTTGGTAAGAGTAATGTTGTCATCCACTTGTTTCAATTTCTTTAGCTCTTCAAAGAGTTGGCCTTTGTCTTTAACACATGTTGAAATTCCATTCACTGGCTGTTTAAAAAGATAATCAAGGTACTTCTCTATCGGTTCCAATATTCCTCCTATGGTGGAAACAATCGGGTGACCAGGCGGTTTGATAGAATTTTTGTGGATTTTGGGAAGCGTGTAAATAATGGGAGTACGAGGATTATTCGTATGTAGGAATTGATATAATTTTGAATCAATATATTCTGACGTTAAGCCATACTGCAGGGTCTCATTGATCTTTTGGGTTATCTCCACCGTGGGGTCCACTTTTAACTCCTGGTATGTACCTTCATCCTGCAATTGTCTGTATATCTCGTTTGAATATTCCTCATAGTCCTGTAGGACAACGCCTCCACCTTTATCTGCCGGTCTGACCATAATCTGTGGGTCATCTGAAAGACCCTTAATGATTTCCCTTTGTTTCTTGGATATATTGGAATGTTTAGCTTGATGTGTCAATAATATTTCCTTAGTTTCCTGTTTCACTGTAGACAGAAACGTTTTAATTGTGGATTGGCATGTTGGCGAATCAAATATTCGATGATTGATTCATTTGAGATTTGTGAAAATACTCTTTTAATCTTAAATTTCAACCGAGTTTGAATAATTCAACATCCCAATGGAACCTGTTGGGCAACGTCGTTGGAATGAAAGATAAGCCTTTGCTTAGGACGGCGGTTTCTTCAAGGGTCAGTTCTCTTTGTGATAAATTGAACACCGGTACTATTTCTGGAGAGATTTTCCACTGGGTCCAGTGTGGGTGCCCCCCTTTTCCCCTTCTTGTAACATATCTCTTTCGCTTCTTAGGCGACTCCTTATTATTTTGCGTGGCAGGGAAGACATCTCTACTTGATCGCTGACCCCTATAAAAATTAACCGTTTTCCTTGTGGATGTGCCCTCGCTCTCTGAGGCTGACTCTCCAGAAGTGACATCTATTGTCGAAACATTAGGTTTTACTAGCGGAAGCATCTTGGTCTTTGTTCACCGGATAGCCATCTGTATATTGATTCTCATTATAATCCATTTCCACCCTTTCCATTTTTTTTAGCTTTCATTTAACAAGTTGGTTCTTGTATTTCAGGACCTCCTTGTTCAATTTTTATTGCTGATTAATCCCTTCCTGGGAATTAAGGAGGACCGTATGTTCGTTCTCAATTTGTTGAATCTTCATTCTAATGTCTACCAGGTCCTCTCTCACGATTATAATCAACATCAGATCCATAGAGCACTTATTCTGGACAGACGTCCAATTTTTTTTCATTATATATATATATATATATATATATATATATATAAATATATACATATTTAAATTCTACAAATATATTTATATAACATTTTTACATAATTACATCATGTTATTAATTACAATTTGAGGGACTTGCCTGAAAACCAAGGCAGAAAGTCCAGAGAATTTGGTTTGCATGCCCTATATTTCACCCTGTAAGTTACAGAGTCAAATATAAGGCTTGCATTTCCTCTTTTCACATTGAAATTTGCCAGATTGGTAATGTTGCCTTTGAGGCCGTATGGTAGCCCAGGAATGAGAATTACCCCCCATGATGGCATACCATTTGCAAAAGTAGATAACCCAAGGTATTGCAAATGGGGTATGTACAGTATTTTTTAGTAGCCACTTAGTCACAAACACTGGCCAAAATTAGCATTCAAATTTGTTTATTGTATTTTTTACACACAAACAAATATGAATGTTAACTTTGGCCAGTGTTTGTGACTAGGTGGCTACTAAAAAAGACTGGACATACCCCATATTGAATACTCTGGGTTGTCTACTTTAAAAAAAATATGTACATGTAAGGTATGATTCAGAGATTTATGACAGATAACAGTGTTACAATGTCACTATTGATACATTTAAAAAATATATATTTTGAAACAGCAATGTACTACTTGTACTTATAGCCCTATAACTTGCAAAACAAAGTTAAGAACATGTTAACATTGGGTATTTCTAAACACAGGACAGAATTTTGAAACTATTTAGCACAGATGTTTTGTGGCAGTTAGGATTCGTAACAGATTTTGGGGATCAAAGTTAGAAAAAGTAGTTTTTTTACATTTTTTCATCATATTTTATAAAAAATGTTATAGTAAATTATATGATATGATGAAAATAATGGTATCTTTAGAAAGACCATGTAATGACAAGAAAAACGGTACAAAAAGTAAGAGGAAAATTACAGCTAAACACAAACACAGCAGAAATGTAAAAACAGCCCTGGTCCTTAAC